TACTCCAGTCAGAAGCCTGCTGCTCATGAGCCGACACTCTTCAACTCACTTTTTTTTTTAGACGGAGTTTTGCTCTTGTTACCCAGGCTGGAGTGCAATGGCACAATCTCGGCTCACCGCAACCTCCGCCTCCTGGGTTCAGGCAATTCTCCTGCCTCAGCCTCCTGAGTAGCTTGGATTACAGGCACACACCACCATGCCCAGCTAATTTTTTGTATTTTTAGTAGAGATGGGGTTTCACCATGTTGACCGGGATGATCTTGATCTCTTGACCTCGTGATCCACCCGTCTCGGCCTCCCAAAGTGCTGGGATTACAGGCGTGAGCCACCGCGCCCGGCCCTTCACTTTTTTTCTTAACAGCATACTTAAGATATAATGCATATAACATACACTTTACCTTTTGAGAGTACATAATTTTAGGTTTTTTTTGAGGTGAATTTTGCTATTGTTGCTTAGGCTAGAGTGCAATGGTGGGATCTCTGCTCACTGCAACCTCTGCCTCCCAGTTTTAGGTGATTCTTGTGTCTCAGACACCCAAGTAGCTGGGATTACAGGCACGTGCTACCATGCCTGGCTAGTTTTTGTGTCTTTAGTAGAAATGGGTTTTCACCATGTTAGCCAGGCTGGTCTCAAACACTTGACCTCAGGTGATCCACCCACCTTGCCTCCAAAAGTGCTGGGATTACAGGTGCAAGTCACCATGTCCGTCCCTCAGTGGTTTCTGTATTGTGCAACCATTGCCACTCTGTAATTCCAGAACATTTTTATCATGCTCCAAAGAAACCCTTACCCTTTAGCGGTCAGTCTTCATTACTCCTTCCCCCAGACCCTGGCAACCAAGACCTTCTCTGGACATTTCGTGTATGTGGGATTGGGTAATCTGCCGCTTTTCAGATCTGTCTTCTTTCCGCTGTCTTAATGCGTTGCTGGTCCATTCGGGTTGCAGCATGAATCGGTTTTCCATTCTTCCCATGGCTGAATAGGACTTCCTTGCATGGCGAGACCCCATGTTGTTCACTTATCAGGTGATAGCCGTTTGCGTTATGTCTGCGTTTTGGTTATTAAGAAAAATTCCCTGGCTCACTTTTGTGTGGGATCCTGTATATCTTGGGATGTATGTATTGTGATTCCTAGATTTATTCCCTTCTTTAGGTACAAAGTAAAGTTTCTGTAAGGTCACATGTCTGAAAATGCCTTCATCCTGTCTCTCTCTGGCTTGCCTTGGTCTATCATTTAAGGCTGGAAGTAATTTTTCTTCAGGATGTTGAAGATATTTCGTCATTGTTTTCTAGCTTCCTGTGTTGCTCTTGAGAAATCTTATGCCATTTCTAGTTTTTATCCTTTGTGAAAATAATTTGTCCATTTCAAAAGTTTGTAGCCTTTCTTCTGTGTCCCCTGTGTTCTGAAGTCCGTGAGTGTGACTTGCTTTTCTCTATTTTGCTGGACATTCATTGAACTCTTCCATCCTCTCCCTCTTAGCTGTTGGCTCTGGAACGTTCTTGAATTATTTGTTTGATTTCCTCTTCTCTGTGTTATCTTTTTCTCCTTGCTTGATCTCTTCGAATTTGGACTTACAGTTCTCTCTTCTCCCCTAATGCATAACGCCTGCCTTTTTTTTTTTTTTTGAGACAGCGTCTTGCTCTGTGGCCCAAGATGGAGTGCACTGACACCATTTCAGTTCACTGCAACCTCAGCCTCCCAGGCTCAAGCAGTCCTCCTACTTAAGCCTCCAGAGTAGCTGGGACTACAGGTGTGCAGCACCACACTGCACTAATTTTTGTACTTTTTGCAGAGATGGGGCTTCGCCATGTTGCGTGGGCTGCTTTGCCTCTATTTTCTGGAAATTTTGCTACCCTTTCCCTTACAGTCACTGTTCTATTTCTGCTGTCATAGTTTCACTCTGTAAAAGGGCTTTTGTGTGCTTTGTGTTCTTCTTTTTCCTCTTTTTAAATGTCTCCCTATTCTTATTTCATGACTATACCGTCTCCTCCTCTTTCTCTGGAAATATTACCGACAATTTGCTTTTGAAGTGTTTTCCCTAAATAGTCCCTCTTTCCTGCAAGTTGCTTTTCTGTTTATTCCTGTCTCAGTCTTTCATCTTAGGTGCTTTTCTCAAATGGGAGGTGATTTTGAGATATCTATTCAGGTGTTGGAGTGGGGTTAGAAATTGTGTTGAAGCGCTATGAGCATTGACTTTGGGCCTCTTAGGGTGATCTGGCAGTGCCATACCACTGGAGAACTCCCCTGCTCCTGGGCTCTAAAGTTGTATTAGGTTCCTGGGAGAATGCCTTTCCATTCCCTGGCTTAGAGGCAAATGCTGGCTGCCTGCTGTTCTGGGAATGAGTGGAGCTGGGGAGAGGGAAGAAGAGTGGGAGAAACTGAGAGGTTTGGTGTGTGTGACTTTGATCTCTCCGGTTCCAGTAGAACACCCCAACCTCAAATCATTCCAGACCTACCGTGTCGTCTCTAGAAACTAAACACATGTATTCTGCTAATCGCATCTTAAACAGACTTTTGAAACCTTTCCTTTACTTTCTAGTCCTGTGTTCACCCTCACTTCCAGAGGTGTCTTGTGGTAACAGATCACCAGCCTTTTGTGAATCATTCTGTTCTCATCAGATATTATTTTTGGGGCACCCATGCCTATTTAGGAATGAAGTTTTCTCAGGTCTGTCAGCTTACTTGTCAGTCATCTATCTGATTCTCAGATTCTGTCATTTTGCTGTTTTACTTCCTCTCCAATACTTTTTTTTTTGAGCAATTTCTTTACAAAAACCTTTTTTTGATTTTATTATTTTTGACACATAATAATTGTGCAAATTGTATATATATATGGGGTAGTATGTATGTACACAGAATTTAATGATCAAATCTGGGTACTTATCATATTCATCATCACCTCATAGGAAATATTTTAATTTTTTTTTTTTTTTTTTTTGAGATGGAGTCTTACTCTGTTGTTCAGGCTGGAGTGCAGTGGCACGATCTCAGCTTGCTGCAACCTCTGTCTCCCTAGTTCAAGTGATTCTTCTCCTTTAGCCTCCCAAGTAGCTGGGATTACAGGCATGTGCCACTGCATGCAGCTGATTTTTGTATTTTTAGTAGAGATGGGGGTTTCACCATAGTGTCCTGGCTTGTCTCAAACTCCTGACCTCAAGTGATTCACCCTCTTTGGCCTTCCAAAGTGTTGGCATTGCAGGTGGGTGAGTGACTGTGCCCGGCCTTAATTGACATTTTAATGGGATTTTGAGAGGATGTGAGTGTAAATTACTGTGTTGAGGCTCTCATCTTTAACTGGAAGTCCTTCACACTTTTTCTTTCTGTAACTATTTGAGATTATCCGCTGTGATTGGGCCACTCCCTGCATTCATGGCCCAGGCCTTAGGGCTTCTTTCTGTATGTTCCCTGCTGTCAGTCAGGGCCTTGTGGCTTTGGCAGGCTCTCTAACAGTGGGGCCCAAGGAGACTTGGCTGCTAGGCTTAGTGGCTTCAGTTTTGACTCCTGGTTTTGCTCGGCCTTCCTGACTTTTATCTTCTGGCTGAAGGCTGCCCCCTATGATTGGTTGGGGAGCTGATCTCAGATCCTTTTTGAGCCTCATTACCCCCTCCATATAGCTGATAGAGCATCCAAGGGGCTTCTTGTCCTATAACACACAGGAAGCTTATCCTGCATTGTTGATGTTTGTTTTGAGGCTTGAGACTAATCCACCTTCTTAAAACATGCCGTGGATCTTTTCCTTTGCCATCGGTGTAGGAGTTCTTCCCTGTTCTTGTTTCCTGCTTTTCTTGGAACTATCTGGTTCTTTCCCAGTTCTTCTTTATTTGTTCTTCTCTACAAAGCAAGCGTATACACAATCATGGAAACAATATTCAGAGCCGCCTGTTGTCGTGCTTGCTCTGACCTGGGAGCCAGTCTTTGTTAACATGTCTTTGGCATTGACGTTCTATACAGGTTTTCGAGGTTTTCTAGAGCCTTTCTTGCTATCATCCTAAGTATGGTTTATAAATACCAATCCTTGGTTTTACACATACTCTGACCCCCGTTAGTGCTCTACAGCTGACTGTGGGCAGGCACTACCTCACTGGATAACTTTTTTGTTGTAGAAAAATAAATTTGGCAAATATGAAAGATGGAAGTAGACTAGATGCTGTAGCTCACACCTGTAATCTCAGTGGTTTGGGAAGCTGAGGAGGGAGGATCACTTGAGACCAGGAGTTCGAGACCTGTCTGGTCAACATGTTGAGACCTTGTCTCTGCAAAAAGTAAAATAAATAAAACAAAAAAAGAACTAGCCTGGTACAACACGGATATGCCTGCAGTCTCAGTGACTCAGGAGGCAGAGGCAGGAGGATTGTTTGAGCCTAGAATTTCGAGGCTGTAGTGAGATATGATTGATTATGCCACTGTACCCCAGCCTAGGCGATAGAGGAGACTTCGTCTTTCCTCCTATCCCCTGCAAAAAAAAAGCAAATAGAGACTCTTACATCTTGCCAGTTTTCCCCTGAAATGGAAACCAGTGTTAAGGTTATTCTCCTACTCCTGTGCTTCTATCTCATGACAATTCTTGTATTTTAAAAATACAACTTATCGCTTTTTTTAAAGTGACAAAGTCTTAATTCTGTCACCCAGGCTGGAAAGCAGTGACACAATCATAGTTCACAGCAGCCTTGACCTGCTGGGCTCAAGCGATCCTCTCACCTGAGCCTCCTAAGCAGCTACAGGTGCCTACCACCCACCATGCCTGGCCTTATCATTGCTTTTATTGTACTTTGGTGAAAATGTCCCAGTGTTGAAGTACTTAGTGAGAGAGAAAGGGGTGGGGAGGGGGGCAGAAAGAGAAAGAGAGAGAGAGGAGAGAGAGTGTGTGTGTGTGTGTGTTTCTTCAGCGCTTTTTCAATATGAATTCATTTGAGAAAGAAGATTTTTTTTTTTTTTTTTACTGGGAGAATAATTTCTGATACTGATAAAATATTTATGACATGTCTCCCTTTCTCTAAAGTTGTGCCAAATCTTTGGAGTGTTGATGGAGAAGTTACAGTCACTGAACAGAAGCCAGGAGAAGTTGCTGAAGAACTTGCAAGCTCCTATGAAAGAAAGCTTATCGAGGTAAGGCTGGTAGAGTCTGTGCGTCATTGTTTCTGATATTGGCTGCTTTGGAGACTTTCCAGGATAAGCTCAGGCTGTTCTAAAGACACGTGAGCAAAACAACCAAGCAACCCTTCAGCCCCACAAAACAAAACAAGACAAAACCAGTGTGCTTTAGAAAGAGATGTATGAGCTGATCGTTTGAAAAATGTCAGTTAGTTACTAGAAATTTGTAGCACTTAAGAAAAGGGAATAAGAGAAAACATATATATGTAACATTAAAAATAAAACAAATGTAAGCCCAGATTTGGAGATTAAAACGGGAGAGAATGTCACCTGCCCCTTTGTGCTGTTAAATGTGAAAATGTGGATGAGGTGAATTATTTTCCGGAAAAACATGCATTATCAGAATTAATTGACGATGAGGCAGACTGGTCGAAGGGACCCCCTCACCCTCAAAAACAAAAAAAAGACCAAAACACTTGGGAATAAAGTTGTACAAGTAACTAAAGAACTGCTTCCTTAGATGACAGCAACTGTAAATGGTTTCATGGTGATTTCTAGGAAACTCTTCAAGGCAATACACAAAGAGTCCTATGCTATTTCTATTTCCTGAGAGGGTTTTTATACATCTCTCTCTTGGTTCAGGTATGCATTACCATGATATAAAAAAAGTCCTTACAAAAATAGGGAAAAAAAGAAAACTATCAAATAGAATCATTTATGTATAAGACATACAGAAATTCTGGAAAGTTATTACTCAAGTTGAATCACATATTACACGAACAGTGTACACAAAATATAGGGTTTATTTAGGATTGCAAGGATGGCTTAATATTAGGAAATTCATCTATGTAAGTCATCTCATTAGTAGTCTCAGAGAGGAAAGCCAGATATTTATCTTGGTAGGTAATGAAAACTCATTTTATAACTATATGGATAGTGATAGAAAATACTCATCATAAAAGGAATAAAGGTAATTTTTGGATATGATAAAGAGGTTTTTCAGAAACGATCAATGATTAGCATACTTGATGGGAAAGTTGAGAAGCTGTGTGTGTGATGAGGTGTGTATACAAGTTGTAATAGTGCCTTGGTGGTGTTATAAGTCATGTCTGGCTCCCTTCCTTTCTCTGCCATCATGGTGTGTGCTTTACTCCATTTCTCGCCATGTCTTCTCACAAGACTTTCAGGATTAAGCGATTCCTGGCCAAGAAACAAAAGCAAAATTGTCCCATTCCCCAGTAGATTTGAATGAAAACTGGTAATAAAATCAGGTACAACTCCAAAAGGAGACATAGGAGAAGAACCAAGCTGGGTCTGTAAGAAATTACGCATGAGATGGCACACATATTTACGCTGACTGAAGGTCACAGTCATGTTACCAAATCAAGCTGAAAAGTGTCACTGCTATCTCGAGAAGTTTGAACAGGTTCCTCTCTGGATCTGTTATGAAGGCATTAATTGGTACAACCCTCAGTGCTTCCATTATTTATGTTGGAAAAAAAAAAAGCTTTTGTTGGCTGGGTTCAGTAATAAATATGTGATACCTTTCACTTCTAAATAAAAAAAGTTATGTATGTACGTATGTACACATGCTAAGTATGCAAATACACTTTTTGGTTCTTTCTAAATCTTCTACAGTGAGTTTTATTTTTATAATAGGGAAAACACTCACTCATTGCTGTAGAGTCATGCCTGAGCTTGGGTGGGTTTCAGAGGCCCAGGGCCCTAGAAGGGGACCGTCTAAGCTCATTGCTGGTTCAGGCTGCCAGTGTTACTGCCTGTTGTGTCTGGTCTCTAAATCGACTCTAAAGAAGGAAGGTGGCTTTAGAAACATCTTGCATTCTAACTTAAGTGATGGAGGAGGAGATGATGGTAGTAATGTCAGGGATGTTACCGGTGGAGGTGGTGGTGGAGGAGGAGATTACGGTGAAAGGGAAGGAAGAGGTGATGGTGGTAGAAGTGATGGAGGAGGTGGTTGTGATGGAGTTGTTGCTGATGGAGGAGGAGGCGGTGGAGGAGCTGTTATTGATAGAGGAAGAGGTGATGGTGACCAAGTTGATCTCAAACTTGTGAGCTACAACAGTACTCATGCCTTGGTCTCTCAGAGTGCTGGGATCACAAGTGTATGCCATCATGCCCAGTCCATCTCATTTTAGATAATAAGGATATTTGGAACACCTTAAACATGGTGATTAATCCCAGTGCGAAGGGAGTTTCTGAGCATTTTTTATGTAGGTGTCTTTGAGTGTATGTGTAGCTCACCTGTCTGCACATATATGCGACACAGTTGTGCTTGTTGACCTGGAATCCAGTGCCCTGGACAGCGCAGAACCTAAAGCTAGTGCTGTAAAGCCATCTTTGAATAGCTGGCGAGCATCTTGAGCCAAGGGTTGGAGGTATAAAAATTGTTCCTGACACCCTGTGATTGTTAACTTTGGAAGACAAGGAGGACAGTAAAATTCTGGCAGGTGTAAGTTAATCTGGCAAGGGTACAACACTAGTCATATCACAGCCCCTGTGATACTAGCAGCAGCTGTCAGGTGCATACTGTTAGATCCAGGCACTGTGCTGGGGCTTTTATGCAGATGAACATGTGTGCTCCTCAGAAGAGTTTCTTGAGAAGGATACTCTTGCTGTCTGTAGTTCACAGATGAAACTTTGGGAAGTTTAGTAACTTTGCCAAGAGTCCTTAGCTGCTAAGAAGCAGTGCTGGGCCTGCATGTGGTGGCTCAAACCTATAATCCCAGCACTTCAGACTAGGAGTTTGAGAGTAGCCTGGCCAACATGGGGAAATTGTGTGTACCAGCTAGAATCTGTTTCCATTCACAAAAATTAGCTGGACGTGGTGGCATGCACCTGTAGTCCCAGCTACTTGGGAGGCTGAGGCAGAGAGTCAATTGAACCTGGAAGGCGGAGGTTGCAGTGAGCCAGGATCACGCCACTGCACTCCAGGCTGGGCAACAGAGTGAGACTCCATCTCAAAAAAAAAAAAAAAAAAGGGTTAGATATCTAGTAAGAGCCATGGGTTCTGTAGAGGAGGCAAACTTTATTCTGGCCCTCGATGTTAGCAGGAAGCATAGCTTGGAGAGCCTAGGGAGGTCATTGAATAATGACGCCACCTCAGTTCGTGCACATCCACTGAGCGCCTTCTCAGTATCCAGCCCTTAGCTTCTTTTCTCCTCTTTTGGTGGCTTTTCTTACCTTGGGAGCAGCAGTGTTGATGGTTGTGGGAGACGAGCCAAAGAAGTTGTGAGGTTGAAGCAGAGACATCCCTGAAGTGGCATTCACTTGCCTATGTGGAGTTTGTTTTTTTTTTTTTTTTTCTTCTTCCTTCTTTCTTGACTTGCAGTGACTTTGGTTGCAAAGTCATTGGTCTGTGAATTGCATTAGCTTTTCCTTATGCCAAGTGTGTCCTTAAGTTACATAGATGAGTGGGACACAGTGCGTGTGTTTAGGGACTTGCCGTCTTGTGGATGAGGCAGACTCACCTGTTCTGATGGTCAGGACAGAGGATTGAAGTGCAGAGGTAGGTTTATACTACCCACAGGCCTGGAGCTGTGTCTTCGATGGCAGTTCTGCAGAGGTCAGCACCTAACCACAGCTTCTTTAGATAATTCCTCCCCACTTCTTAGGGACTGTTAGTGATGATGCTCAGAATTTCTTCTGTAAACTTGCCCATGAAATTCTAACACATCAGAAGAGAAACAATTGTTCTCAGCAAGGTTTTGAAGATAAAGATATTGGACGCATCCAAGATAGATTTCTTCTGAGACTCTTGCTTCTGTACTTCTTTTAAGTACATTTCCTTTGGTTTGGACTTATCTTCAGAGGTTTTCTATTCTTTTTCAGCAGTTGCCTTCACAACAATGTGACATGTTGGTGACATTTCGACTTGCAGCCTGCGTCACTTTGTTGCTGCCTTCTGCAGCCTTTTGACTTGGAAAGCACATGTATCGCATGTCAGACTGAGTTCAGATTTGCCACTTACTGCCATATGTTCCTGGACAGACCTCTTTACCTCTCTGAGCCTCACGTTCTCTGTTAGTGAAACACAGCCAGTAATACCTGCTAGTGGTTTTGTTTTGGGAATTACACATGAAGAACCCAGAGGAGTGCCTGCAGTAGAGAGAAGGTGTCTTTCTGCTTTCTCTCCTCCCTTCTGTCCTGACGTGTTTGGAGGGCTTGCCTCTCCACCATAGCTTGCTGCCTGGGTGGAAAAGTATGTCCAAGTACTTTGCCCTGTTTTAGGTTCAGGGCCGGGCACATCACCTGAGCTAGGCCAATGGGGTCTTTAACTCTGGAGTCATGTAAGAATGCAGCAGTGCTTGGGAGGCCATTTATTCAGTAGCAGTTAACAATAAGCATTTATCCAGTAGACCAATAGCAGTGAGTTGGATAAAACTCTAGTTGTTTTCTGTGTTGAACTTGCTAGAATTGCTCTGTTTTCAGTTCCTTGTCTTTTTTTTTTTTATTGCATTTTAGGTTTGGGGGTACATGTGAAGAACATGCAAGACTGTTGCATAGGTACACACATGGCAGTGTGGTTTGCTGTCTTCCGTCACCTCACCTGTATCTGTCATTTCTCCCCATGCTATCTCTTCCCACCTCCCCACCCCCCTGTCCCTCCCCCATTTCCCCCCAACGGACCCCAGTGTGTAGTGTTCCCCTCCCTGTGTCCATGTGTTCTCATTGTTCAACACCCGCCTATGAGTGAGAATATACGGTGTTTGATTTTCTGCTCTTGTGTCAGTTTGCTGAGAATGATGGTTTCCAGGTTCATCCATGTCCCTACAAAGGACGTGAACTCATCGTTTTTGATGGCTGCGTAATATTCCATGGTGTATATGTACCACATTTTCCCTATCCAGTCTATCATCGTTGGGCATTTGGGTTGGTTCCAGGTCTTCGCTATTGTAAACAGTGCTGCAATGAACATTCGTGTGCACGTGTCCTTATAGTAGAATGATTTATAATCCTTTGGATTATACCCAGTAATGGGATTGCTGGGTCAAATG